GCCACAAACCTTAATTTTAACCATTTTTGCTCAGCAATCTCCAAATTTGACACATAAATTTTTTTGAACTTATTCCTTCTTTTAGAAAAATTTAGGGAGGCTATTAATAAAATAGAAAAAAATCTTGGTGTTGAAAATTCAATGCCCGCAATGCCCGGGTGTAACATTACACACTAATCAAATTTTAAGTTTTGGAGATGGTTTCTAAATTTGTACTAGTTACACAGCGAAGTTTCAGCACTGTTATCAACAAATTACTGTATTTGGTCATTACTCCTGATAATCTCCAGCCCACATTTTTTCTTTTGTGTATATATTGATAAATAAAATTTATTAAAATTTCACTAAACTTTAATAAACAACAATCCACATAAAGCTATACCCACATGAAAATTATGGTATTCTTCATTTTTTTAAACACTCATCAAGTTTATAAAGGTAATATTGGTAAAAAGTAATGCTGTTTTCAAATAAATATAGCTTGACATGGAGAGCCTCTATCAATATAAGAGAGGATTTGTTAGAAAGCTATAATGAAATAGATTTATTTTTATTATTAATAATGCTTGAATTTGTTTATAAAAATAGAGATATTTAAAAAACTGATTGGTTACATGAGTCAGATTTTCTATTTATATATGTAATTACACTTCCTGTGACATATTGCTCAACTAGTAAAATAAACCAATTATTTTGCAGGTTATAAATTTTTTGCATTTTTGGTTTGAGGAGTAAATTTTAAAAATAAAATTTGCTAGTTACTTCCATATTGATGAGTAACTGGAGAGATTCTTCACAGTAGTGTCAACATGGCAGATGGTAGTATCCTTAATAATTTGTTTTCTATGAGCTAACTTGGGGGTTACATTTATTGGATGTTGATCTTGAACAAATGACCTTCATTATTTTTGTAATTTTCTGTTAAATGGCTAATTGGCTATTGATAGCTGATAAAACTTTTCTGATATGGTTGGCTCGATCTAAAGACCTCATGATGCTGCGCCACGTACTCAAATTTCAAAAAATTGCGATTTCGTGATTCGTTCAAAAATGCAATAAAATTTTTTAAAAAAAGGGCTTCACGTGATTTTGGTTAAAAAATTATTTTCCTTGCTGCCATATTTAGATATGATGGTCGAGTATTAGTCTAAATTTAGTAATGATGATCGAAAACTAGTCTAAATTTAGCAATGATATTAGCGCTCAAATTTCTCTCTCTATTACATTAAAACTAAATAATATTCTATCAACTAATAAAGCTATTTTTTTAAAAGATAGGACAGAAAATGACTTCTATACTTTTAAAATTTGCCCAAAATTTAGGAAGTCTTTGGACCGTGCCAACTATACTAACGATCAATGACTGAGTCATATGATTCTATAATATCGTGACACCAAAGAATATCATTGCTATTTTTGAGTTTGAAGATTTTTGGCACTCAACGCAGCATTTGATGTCTTTAGATAGTGTACACTGTATCAGATAAAGAATCAATTACAACTTGAAATCATAAGTAAGTAGTAAAATTTTTGATCATTTTTGATGCATATGAGAATTTTATAATATATTAATTGCCAAGCTGTGAATGAATCAGTGGGACCCCAAATCTGCATTTCCTACATAGAAAAGTCTTTACTCATCACACAAACTATGTTAATTTTTTAGATAAAATTAACTTTATTCATATATAAAAGTAATATCATCTTGTGGTACAAAAAGAATAATACAATGTTTTATGTAAAGGTTGACAATTGATAATTTTTGTGACATTTTGCCCCAAAATGCAGATCTTCACTGAACCATAATGGTCACGTCATTTAGAAGATTATATGTGACCTAAGATCCTCTGTTATCCCCATACCCCCTTAAAATACTCTCTTTATTTCAAGTCATCTATAAATGTCAATCTGAAAGTCAAATTTTAGATGATCTTTTCTAATTTAAGTAATCATATTTCTTTTATTGGAAAGATTTTTCGCGTATCACGGAAAATTTCTAAGCTTGCAATAAAATTTTCACTTTCTTTTACAAAAAGCAGGGTCATATTAAAAATGCAATTTCCATGGTAAAAAATAGTATAGTTGGCTCGGTCTAAAGACTTCCTAAATTTTGTGCAAATTTTGAAAGTATAGAAGTCACTTTCTGTCCTACCCTTTTAAAAAAATAGCTCTATTAGTTGATGGAATAGGACTTTAATTTTAATGTAATAGAGAGATTTTCTCAAAAAAATTATTTGTTGTAGAGTTCTATTTTTTTTTAAAACATGTACTTTACTATGCTCATGAGGAATTTGAGCGCTAGGATCATTGCTAAATACTCGACAATCGTATATAAATTTGGCAGGAAGGAAAATAATTTTTTAACCAAAATCACGTGAAGACCCTTTTACGAATCACGAAAGAAATTTGAGCGTGTGGCGCAGCAATAAAAGGTCTTTGGACCGAGCCAACCATAATAAATAAAAATTTGATTTACATATTAATGTGGCAGATTTGAGAAATGTTTTTGTTTTTATAAAAAAAATTGAATTGTATATTTAATTCGTTGTCTTTACATATAGACACATATAAATGTTCTAAATTGAAGCATTACAACTCAAAACTTTTCTAATAAAATGAAAAAATTAAACCGATGAAAATGAAACTTGAGTCTTTAGTTTTAATTCTGTCAGATTACTTTTTTCTTTTTTTTAATAAGCTTTTAAAATCAAGTGATAATAATTGACCGTTGCACTGCACTATTACTATGTTAAAATAACTAGATCAAAATTAATTTCCAAAATGATATTAATGCATGCAAGTACATATCAGTTATTAATTACATTGCTACTATTGCTACTTGTTCCTTTTTGATAGTTTTTTTATTATCTATTGATTTTAATGGATGGTCTAGGCTCACTTAAACACTCGAAAAATCAAATAGAAAATAATATTTATGATATTGTTTATAGTGCTATAAATAGTACATATTTAGGTTCAAATTGACAAAAAATTACTGATCAAATTACTTTCGCATACATTTTTTCCATAATCTTTTATTCAAAAAAAAAAACTATTATAACGAACTATTCATATATATGTGCTGCACATATTGATGAACACAAAGAATTGATAACAATAGAAATGAGATTCGTAATGATGATAAGATGATGCGTGAAATGTGATGGATATGTTTTAACATATGTTTTTTCTACCCTTTATCTTGATCTCATCCAAAAATTGATGGCATATCCGAATAAGTAATGAGAATTCAAAATTATTTTTCTTTAACTCTCGCTCGAATATTTAATAAGTAATAACCTTATTTTTAATTTAATTTTCGCATTCAATAAACCTTTTAGTGTGTTTATTATTTTAAGAAAGAAACATAATATTAAAAATTATTCTTTCTATATATAACATATATGCAAACACATACATATGCAAATTTGATTGGTTAAAAATTTTCTTACTCAATATGAAAGGAAATTTATAAAGAAGATATCTATGTTCGAGAATTTTATTAAAATTCGAACAAAATATTTAAAAAAATTAATCGATTTACAGTGATGATGAAACAATGACAATCCTGACAATGGATGAAACAAAAAAAATCTTGAATTGATACTAATATAGCAAAGTATATTTATTTTACAACGTTACTCGAAAACACAAATATAGAGATGGTACAATGAAAATGGTACACTGCCTGCGTATGCATGACAAATATTGTTTTTTAATAGATTATATGTGATTAAAAATTATAATCACCTACCAATCAATTAATCTACAACCTTCTTCTCCAATCACACACACAACACACAATTTATTTTGTGCCAATGTTTTTATTTAACAATAAATTAAATTTAATAGAAAGGCAAAAAAAAACAGAAACTAATTTCAAATTTTAACGTTTTAAAACCAAAGATGAATAAACCTAAGCAATAGACAAGAATGAAACAATCAATATTTTCCTCGGTAAACACAAAAAAATATTACGCATTTATTCATTTCAAAAATCTACAATATGCTCACCCGAATAATATATATTAATATAAAATTAACTATTTTTGGTGAGTTTTTAATTGTAACAAAAATTTCTTTTGATTAATAATTATATTAGTAAAGCTCGTTTTAAGAAAAAAAAATAGAGCTAAACTATATTGTGCGCTTGGCAATTATTTTCTGAATTTAGTCAGTTCTATGACAGAATAAATTCCACCATACGAACCGATTTATTTCATTTCAAACCATACATGCGTAATGACTCTTTCTTTGAAATTTGTTTTAATCATTCTTCTTTCGAAGAAAAAGCAATACTTGGCAGGTTTATAGTAACTCAAAAGATAGTGCTAAAAATTTTATAAATATCAATTTCATTAGATAAATGTAAACATCCATTATTTGACGTCCTAAACCCCCCCCCCCAATATAGAACTTATAACGTATTTATACTTCAATTATTTCTCTCGCTACATTATTATAAATAAAGACTCGGCTTGATTTTGATATTATAGATTCCGCGACATATTCAAATGTTTCAATTTAAAAATGTTAATTCTGATTACGTCTTTTTGGTGATCACAATTAGTGGAGCGGCGTACTGATTTATCCTTTTTCGACCTGCAGAAATTAAAATATATCTTAAAAAAAATAAAAATAAATTACATAATAAGTTGGAAAATATTTAAGACATTTCGTAATATGTTTGTGGATAAATATTATTGTTATTATTTGGGTAATTTTTTTTTAGAAGAATTTGACCATTCATATTTTCATATATATTCGAGATTTTTTCAATTGATAAGGAAAAAAACTAAATATAAAGAAGGCTATTAATAAAGATGATTTCCTTGGCATTTAAGGGTCTCATATACATATACATATGTATTCGTATGCATTGAAATGGTTTATTAAAATCAAATTTAGTTAAATTTTAAAATTTTTATTTTATTCAAACATAATTATTTAAGAAAATAAAATTATTTAGCGGATAATTCATTATTTGATTATTTATTTGGTAAAAAAAAAAATTATCTCGTGTTTCAATGAAGTTTACTCGTGTAAAAAATGAAAACTTTTGATGTTTAAATATTTCTTTCCTTCAAATCTAAAAATGTTTTGATAGATTTTGATAATAATAATAAAAAAAACAAAACTCTAAATTTATATTTGTAAATCAATGTAATCTAAAATTTCTAAAATTTATTTGATTGGTGTGTGTTTCCTCACTTTTAAAAAAAATAATAATTAAAAAATTTTTTTCCCATTCATCTCCTTCCCATACAAACTCCATTGACATTTCTCCCTTTTATATTACTTTATTAATTATTATATTTATTTATTTATTTTGTCCTCCAAATACACAAGCAAAACGCTTGTTAATTAAATGATAATAATAAAGAATATTCTTGTTTGGTTTTCAAATGTCATTGATGATAGCAAACAAATATTTGATCCATTCATTTACTTCTTTATTTTTTGATCGTGAAGAAGGAGTAGTAATTGATTTGTTTGGTGGTTCTAAAGTTTGAATTCGACTTTAAATGTAATTGACTTTGGTTTATTTTGAGTTGAATGTGATTATGAACAAACCATACGTTGAATGTTAAATAAATAAGCGGTATATTACGTTTATTTAACTATCGTAATAACAGATTATAGGCAGACAATAATAATAACAGTAAATAATTAACGGATTATTACATCGGTATAAAACATATATCTTTTACTATAGGTTTGATTGGAAATCACGATCATGAGTCTGATAACTTGATAACAATAAATTA